GCCCATCTCATATCTTCTTCTTCTTCTTCTTCTTCTTCTTCTTCTCCTCTCATTCGACAACTCTATTTCAGCAAACACAAACCTATCAAGGGCTCGTCTAAATCTATCAAACCATGTTCTAGGGGACTGTTTTAGTCCATATAGAGCTTTGTTCAACCGGCAAACCTTTCCTGTCTCCGTACCATAAAATCCTGGAGGCAATTGCATGTAAACTTCTTCTTGCAAGTCTCCATTGAGAAAGGCATTTTTAAAATCCATCTGATACAATGGCCAAGAGTAACTAGTTGCAAGAGATAATAGTACTCTGATAGTGGTCATCTTTGCTACTAGTGCAAAAGTTTCTAAGTAGTCAATACCATATGTCTGAGTAAATCCATTTGCAACTAATCAGGCCTTATACCTTTTAACAGAACCATCAGCATTATATTTCACAGTGAATACCCATCTACATCCAACCAGTTTCTTTCCTTTAGGTTGATTAACTATCTCCCAGGTATTGTTTCTGATGAGAGCATCCATTTCTACTTTTATTGCATCTTTCCATTTTGGTACTTCCAATGCTTCTTGTATTGTTCTAGGAATGGGAATATTAGCAATGGATGCAAGAAAAGACTTGTAGGAGGGAGACAAATGATCATAGGATAGGAACTGAGAAATGCAGTGAGCTGTGGTGCAACAGCGTTTGCCTTTACGAACTGTTATAGGGAGATCAAGGTCACTGAATGAAGGTGAAGGCTCCATGGTGGGATGTCTCTCATCTGTAGTATCTGTGGTACTTGGATCTGGATCTACAGAAGGAACTGGGGCTACTGTGGTACCTGGATCTGGATCTGCAAAAGGAACTGGGGCTATTGTGGTACTGGGATCTAGATCTGTAGAGGGGACTGGGACTAGCATACACTACTGATGTCCAAAATCGACCTATCTTCATCGTCTGTGATAGACTCTCACATCCTTGCACCTTTGACATCCTTCCCCATTACATCCTTCTTCACTTGATGGAATTGGAAAAGGAACTTCCGATGAGCTACTCCCGGCTTCACTATTCTCCCCCTGAGGAGAAACCCTAATAGGGTTTATCCTCAAAGAATGTGACATCAATTGAGACAAATCCTTTTTCCAAAAGTCGGTTCATAACAACAATATCCCTTTTGAGTTTGGGCATATCCAAGGAAAATGCATTTGGAGGACTTAGGATCAAATTTGGAACGATGAGGGCCAAGGATTTGAACGAAGCAAGTGCACCCAAAGGTTTTAAGGGGAATGGTAAACAATTCTTTATTAGAGTATAAAAGGGTGAATGGAGTTTTCATGTCAAGAACCCGTGAGGGAATTCGATTGATAAGATAAACTGCTATAAGAATGGCATCCCCCCAGAAACGTATAGGCACATTTTAGGTAATCATAATGCCTCTAGCTACCTGCAATATGTGTCTATTCTTTCTTTCAGCAACCCCATTCTGCTGTGGTGTATGTCGACAGGTACTCTGATGGATAATCCCATGATCAAGCATGTAGGAGGCTAATAGGTTTGAGAAATATTCTTTTGCATTGTTGGATCTAAAAATTTTAATTTTGACCTCAAATTGGGTTAATGTTGGAACCTCATCTCAAGAACGCAGGTAAACCCAAGAGAACCGAGTATAATCATCAACAAATAATAGGAAATATCTGTACCCCCCCATGGCAATGTTATGATAGGGTCCCCAAACATCAGTATGCACAATTTCAAAAAGGAATATTGCTTCTGTTATTACTTACTAAATAGGTAGTCCTACAATGTTTTGCAAGCTCACAACTTTCACATTTCAAACTTGTCATCTGAACAGATTCAAATATACTAGGAAACAAACTTTTCAAATCCTGAAAAAATAAATGGCCCATCCTATCATGCCAAAGCATCACCTGATCAACAAATTGAGAAACAAAGGATTTCTTAGTTTCACTATCCTCCTGATGAGCACTTCCTCCAAGTAGGTAGATTCCATTTGTCTCACGGCCAGTCCCAATCACCTTCCTTGTTTCCAGATCCTGAAAAACACATCGGTTAGGAAAAAGGTTACTAAACAATTTTGTTTTCTTGTAATGCTACTAACTGAGAGCAAGTTAGTATTAAGCTTAGGAACATGCAAGACGGAGGATAGGGAAATTGCATCAAACAATTTGATGTCTCCTTTGCCAAAAATAGGAACAAGGGATCCATCAGCAATGGATACTTTGTCTTTACCAGAATATAAATGATAAGTAGAGAAAAGTGATGGCAAGCCAGTCATATGGTTAGATGCTCCTGAATCTATTATCCGAGAATGTTTTGTATTACCCGGAGCTAAAGCATGATAAGTTGAAGCCCGATAACCTGATTGAGCAAAGGATGAGGTTGAAGGAGCTGATGATGGCTGAGGAGATGATACTGAGTTACTGACTTCACTTTCCAATTGTGTCAGAGCAGCTCGAACAGCAGCTAGGGTGTCTACAGTGCCTCTTGAGGCTGTTGAGGCTGCACTATCAGTGTTGGCAGCCATATTGGCATTCCCCTTTTTGTTTCTGAGTTTTGCTGGAACTAGATGTGGATGCAGCTTCCAACAAGTGTCTTTAGTGTGTTTAGATTTCTTGCAATGTTCACAAACTAGGTCCTTTTTAGCCTCTTTCTTCATATCCCTTTCCTTTTCTCCCCCGAACTTGGGTTTAATTGCTGCCAGGGCTGATCCGAAAGGTTGCTACTGTAACAT